TGGACCGCTTAATTTGGGTTAAAAATTGCATTCATGATGTTGAATACATTTTGAAAAGATCACATCAAAATGTACAAGTGTACTTATTTTCAAATTGTTTCGACTACTGTCTCATGGTAGGGTAACCAAAATGTAAAATGTTTATCATCCCTGTCACTAAAATTTAAACATGACACGGTACAGAATAGAATAACGGACAAATATACGAACCTGTTCATACACAAAAAGAAAAGAATCCCTCTACTTTAGCGCGTAAAATATTCCTGACTAATAGTCCACAAAAAAGGAAGCTTCAAACGAATTGAATTGAATTTACGACAGAGTTTTAACATACTTACAGGTTTTACTTGATCCTTGTGATTCAAAACAATCACAAGTTTTGGATAACCCAGAACACTTTCTCGGCAGTATGTAACAATTGTGATGATCCAGAACCGCAGGTTATCTGGAAATATTAAACACAAAATACAACAGACGAATAGGATTCAATTAATTTGACCTTATTCACTCCCTGAGTTAACTATATTATTCTGAATAACAAACATTAACAAGTTCCGTTCTTCCAAAATAGGACTTATCTATGATTGGTAGATACTGATCACATGGTTATTAAAATTTTTACTTCTTCCATCTTAAACAATATGTTAACTATAGACTCGTATTCTTGTGAAGAGTTTGCATTATCATCTTGGCATTTTCTATTTGTTATATTTAAGAGACTATTTACATCAATATATATTGAAAATAAATGTGTAATGTACACTGAATACCTTTAGCTGTTTTCAATCTACTCTTTCTTGGAAGATACTGATCAAACGGACAAAGTTCATTAAGTGTTTTGCTTCAATCTAATACAATCAAATAAAGAGCTCTGTGTGTTAATAATGTCTGATATGTTGAATAGAAAACATCCTGTCCTCCAAAATCCCAGATAATTATAGGTGCTATCTTCTTATTATGTAACTGTTTTTTTCCAACTCTAGAAGACTTCTCTAAAAATTGCTCTTTTGTGATTGACACTTTTACTTTTTGTTTACGCCAAAAAAGAGTTTCAGCCTACTAATCATTTTCGTTTTATTTACAGTGTCTATAAACAACTCATCGGGGATATCAGACTTCGAACAAGTATCAGCTTGGATGTTCCTTGAGGTGTGTATATGAAAAGGGGACCCAAATATTTCTTCGTCATTCGAAAGATCAGCATTTTCTTTTTCCGTACTAAGATCGTATTCTGCTGGGTCGTGCTGATTGCTTGATCTATCTGATGTTTTGTCATCATCATCTGATTTGCCTAATTGTCTATCTGAACTAACAGAATTGTGTTCTTTTCCACATATCCCAGAAGTATCATCGATGTCTTGCGTTATTTTGTTCTGTTCAAACATCTGATCTGGAGGCTGTATACTCACATTTTGGACAGGATTACCATGATTTACTGGTTCAGTTATAAATTTATGATGAAACTGGGTTATAACATGATCACATTCTGGAATAATGATATTATCAGAAGGCCGTTCTATAGCTACATCGGATGATAATAATTCATGTTTAAAATGTACTTCACTCTCAAACGATGTCCCGACCTATTTTCGAAATCTTAAAAGTTTAGATTTTCATTCAGGCTTACCATCAAGACAGTAAATATGGCAAAGAGAAAGTTTTGAATTTCTATAACATTGATACTTCAGTTTCGGTTTATAACTGTTTATATATTGTAATGTTTTTGTCCTTGTTGTTGGTGTTTTCATTATTCTGACATGAAACGTCAACAGGACCTATACACAATACAGTTCAACCAATCACAGAAAACCTTGACATTGTCAGTTGTACTTTTAAGACTTCAATATTTCAATTTTCTATGATAGTTTCCATACCAACACTTATGGCAAACAAGTCTGTTGTCATTTGCTTCCTGTTGATGTTTTTTTTTTTTATTGGCCTTTTTGAATTTTAATGAACGTTAATTTTGCAACATTCATATCATTCACAAGAAGTTAAAGATACTTAAATTAATATCAGGAATTGTATATATATAGATTTGCATTGTAAGTATGAACTTTGCTGTAGGAATTTTATGAAAAATTATGTGTAACGTCCTTAAGTGTCTTCATAATTAAAGTATTTAAAACATTATGATTGCTAACATAGTTAATGACACTTATGGTGGTTGGTTCTTCTCATTTGCAGGAATTTAATAAAAAGATGTAAGTCCACTCAATCGTATAACAGATAAGATGAGTAATAAAGGTAACATGTTGAAGATTTTTTATCTTTCGTGTAATATTCCAATGTTCAGATGAGAATTGTATTCAATTTGTCGCTTTCAATCATTTAGGTCTATGAGCTTACTGTGAATGCAAGCATTATTTGATGGCCAATTTAATTGTTTTTTAGTACCTACTATACATATATACGTGTTATAATTTGATGCCTTTCGTATTGTAATATTCATGTACATTATGTTGATCGAGTAAAAATGTGATGATTGAGATTTAAAACAAGATATTAAAGGCCACTTTATGAACCTGTCTACGAAAATACGCATTTAAGCTGGGTACTTCTTCAGTGATTGTTATCTGTACTTTTCATGTAGATATCATACTAAAATTAGGTGTTCAACTTTTATTTCATTAACTTATAATTTTGTCCTGAAATATGTATTTACAGTATTGTATATAGTTTGTCATGACATACCAACAATTGCTGCATGACAAAAATACACATTTTCAAAAACAGTGGAATGTTATCACCGGTTTGTTTTTATGATACTTGCAATAATTAATCTTCCAAATTACTGGAATCAATGCTGAAGTCAAACTATATTTTATCCGGAGAACAAGTCACTCTGTCGTGTATTGAATGAAACCAAACATCCGCCAAAAGTTAAGTTTTAAACTTTAAAAATATCAACTCAAATTCAAGAAAATATATTTAATGTTTCAGACGCCATCGCTTTGAAAATAATTTGGGACACATGACGCAACCAGGACTTGTTTGACCGTTCAGGATTGTATTACAAATGACCAGGAATAGTTTCTACATGATTCCTTCTTTTCTCGTTCTAGTTTAAAATTATATATGAAATTGATAAGCTTTATTTTGAGTTAGCAACTCAATATATGTCGATAAGCAGAGCAAGAACGTCATAATTTTTCTATCGCATTCGAGTTCATTATGTTTTGGTTGGGTCGTGTGGCTTGTCTGGTGTATTCAAGGTTTTCTGTATAATTTTGTTTGATTGTTTGTTTTGCTTATTTGTTTTTTTCCTTTTATGTTCGCATTGAATTGTATGCCTTTTTTGGTAATGATTTTCTGTACCACTTGGATGTCTTCATTTTTATAAAACAAATCGTCAATTATCTATATTTGCAAGTCAGTCAATTGATATTTACGAAATGAAACAGATCAAAATGGTTCATTCAATGTCAACCTTGAAACACATGTCAAAATGTTAACATATATGTTGTACATGAATATGTATTGTTACGTCACATTAAATGTATATCGAAAACGTTTCGAATAATAAACCACAAAATGTTCTGTACGGATACGAGTATAATCATTATCAGTAATAAGTAAGTAGATTTTAAACAATCACGAGTTGGTTGACAGTTAAGGAATGTATATTCACAGATGACGACGGATAAGCTCCAATTTTCGTAACTACAATCTTGTTCCCCTTCCCCTGAATGTGACCTACCGAAATAAACATATCACCGGGATTGTACATACATCTACATGAGCAACACGACTGTCCCATATGTGAAGCAGGATCTGCTTACCCTTCCGGAGCACCTGAGATCACCCCTAGTTTTTGTTCGGGTTCGAGTTGCTAAGTTTTTAGTTTTCTATGTTGTTTTGTGTACTGTTGTTTGTCTGTTTGTCTGTTTTCATTTTTAGCCATAGCGTTTATTTTCGACTTATTAGTTTGAATGTCCTTTTGGTATCCCTTGCCTTTTTTTCAGAATACCAAATTATCGTATTTTATTTCAAATTTTGACAATTTATCTACCACTTACCACAGCCTGTATATTCAGATCAACTGCACTCGAAATAAGTAAATGTACGGTTTTTGTTCTCTGAAATATCACAGCAACATGCAGTGCAGTATTACCTTGCTGGATAAGGAAAGACGATTATTCTTTAATGTAGTGGAGTATAACAAATAAAGAAACTTATGACACGAAAAGAACAGACGTGAAGTAAAGTAGTAACGCAATATGAGTCATGCCGATATTTGATATCAAATATCGATTGGAAAACATTTCATAAGATATCTCCTGAAACAGGAATACAAAAAAAGAACATTTTGCTTAGTACAACTTTATTTTAGAATTCAAAATTTATTACAACTGCCTCATATAATTATTTGGATCAGTAATACAAGCGACAAAGACTATATTTGAACAAAAACAAAACAAAGCTTAACACTTTAACTGGTCAAAAAGAGGTAGAAGACAAAAAGGGCACTCCAAAACCAATATAAAAAAAGGAAACGCCTTTATCTCCAGAGCATCGATTATTCGAGTTGTCATTTCCAAGAAAATTACACTTGGTGATTTTGAACCATATATCACTAGTTTATATAATGTGTAAAAAGTAAAATCACAAAAATTCTGAACTCCGAGGAAAATTCAAAAAGGAAAGACCAAAATCAAATGGCAAAATCAAAAGCTCAAACACATCAAACGAATGGATAACAACTGTCATATTCCTGACTTGTAAAGATGTCTATCATTAAATGGTCACACTGGTTTCATTTCGTTTTGACATCATTTGATTGTAATTCACCTGATACAGGTCCAATAAGCGTTTGGTGAAGCAAGGATGTATAGTTTTCTGTTATCTGACCAATACTTCACATAATACAAGATATCGTGATAAGCAAAAGTCTTGCCCTTTAAGTTGCAATATGAACCACCTCGCGGATTGAAAACATGAGACTGGTCATTAATTTAAATTCATTATTAGGTACGTGAAATGTGATATCTGTCATTTACCTTATCCTGTGTACAACACTTAATTCCACTGACAATTAACAGATGGATTATTTCTGTGTTTCCGATCCGAGCAGCATAATGAAGTGCAGTCGAACCATCCTTTATTAACATACATGTAACAATTATTACAATATTTTATGACAAATGAATAAACTGACGATATAAAGTTAAGTTAGATACCAGTATTGCACAATACGCGTAGAGTCAAGCCAGAAGTCGATATAAATTGTTGATTGAGAATCTTAGCATATACTAAATAACTTCATCATAAAGACACACAAGCCAGGAAGTATCATGACTGTGATTCAATACGCTTGCAGATCTGTATTTAACTATGATATATCCTAGTCTTAATTTATCGTTTTTTTAACACAAAGAAACAAGACTTATATATATTTTACATCACCAGTGATATTTATACACATTATATCTTAGTGACAAAAGAAAATAAAAAAGTTGTTTTCTTCTGATCGAGACTTGGTTTATATTTCATGTATGGAATTTTTATATTATCAAGATAACCTATGAAATTTTAAACTTTCGATGTTTTAATAGTTCTATATCACACTAAACGAAAACACATTACCAATTTGCGAAATCTTAAAAGTATAGAATTTTTTTTAGGCTTACCATCAAGACAGTAAATATGGCAAAGAGAAAGTTAGAATTTTCATAACATTGATACTGCAGTTTCGGTTTATAACTGTTTATGTATTGTAATGTTTTTGTCCTTGTTGTTGGTGTTTTCGTTATTCTGACATAGAACGTCAACTGGACCTATACACAAGACAGTACAACCAATCAAAGAAAAACCTCAGTTGTAATTTTAAGACTTCAATATTTTAATTTCTATGTTAGTTTTCATACCAACACTTATGACAAACAAGTCTATTTTCATTTGCTTCCTGTTGATGTTTCTTTTTTTATTGGCCTTTTTAAATTTTAATGAACGTTTATTTTACAACATTCATATCATTTACAAGAAGTTAAATATACTTAAATTGATATCAGGAATTGAAAATATATAGATTTGCATTGTAAGTATGATCTCTGCTGTAGAAATTTTATGAAAAAATTATGTGTAACGTCCATAAGTGTCTTCATAATTAAAGTATTTAAAACATTATGATTGTTAACATAGTTAAAGACACTTATTGAGGTTGGTTCTTTTCATTTGAAGGAATTTAATGAAAAGATGTAAGTCCACTCAATCGTTTAAAAAATCAGATCAGTAATAAAGGTAACACGTTGAAGATTTTTTAGCTTTCGTGTAATATTCCAATGTTCAGATGAGAATTGTATTCCATTTGTCGCTTTCAATCATTAAGGTCTATGAGTTTACTGTGAATGCAAGCATTATTATTTGATGGCCAATTTAATTGTGTTTTAGTACCTACTATACATATATACGTGTTATAATTTGATGCCTTTCTTATTGTAATATTCATGTACATTATGTTGATCGAGTAAAAATAGGCTGATTGAGATTTAAAACAAGATATTAAATGCCACTTGTAGGTTTATGAATCTGTCTAAGAAAATACTCTTTAAAACTGGGTACTCCTTCAGCGGTTGTTATCTGTACTTTTCATGTAGATATCATACAAAAATTAGGGGTTCAACTTTTATTTCATTAACTTATAAGTTTGTCCTGAAATATGTATTTACAGAATTGTATATAGTTTGTCATGACATACCAACAATTGCTGCATGACAAAAATATATTTTCAAAAACAGTGGAATGTTATCACCGGTTTGTTTTTATGATACTTGCAGTACTTGATCTTCAAAAATACTGAAATCAATACTGAAGTCAATCTACATTTTAGCCGGAGAACAAGTCACTCTGTCATGTATTGAGTGAAACAAAACATCCGTTAAAATGTAAGTGTTAAACTTTTGAAATATCAACTCAAATATATATTTAATGTTTCAGACGCCATTGGGACGAAGGACGCAATCAGGACTTGTTTGACAGTTCAGGAATGTATTACAAATAATCAGAATTATTTTCTACATGATTCCTTCTTTTATCGTTCTAGTTTACAATCATATATGAAATTGATAAGCTTTATTTTGAGTTAACAACTCAATATATGTCGATAAGCGGAGTAAGAACGTCATAATTTTTCTAAATCATTCTAGTACATTCTTATGTTTTGGTTGGGTTCGTGTTGCTTGTTTGGTGTATTCAAGGTTTTCTGTATAATTTTGTTTGATTGTTTGTTTTGTTTATTTATTATTTTTCCTTTTATGTTGGCATTGATTTGTATTCCTTTTTTCGTAATGATTTTCTGTACCACTTGGATGTCTTCATTTTAATAAAACAAATCGTCAATTATCTATTTTTGCAAGTTAGTCAATTGATATTAAGGAAATGAAACAGATCAAAATGGTTCATTCAATGTCAACCTTGAAACAAATATCAAAATGTTAAAATACATTTGTGTGCAGACCAAGCATTACATGTAGACGGGCGGAAAAATTAAACGCGGCGTTTACTCGCATGCACTTCATGTAAACGCCGCGTTAACTGTGCGTTAACTCCGAATTTCAGTAGACATAAAAAGTAAACGGGCGTTTACTTTCGCGTTTAGTTCCGCGTTAACATGAAAAAAAGCGGATCTTCTAAATTTTTAAAGAGTAAACGGGCGTTTACTTTCGCGTTTACTTCCGCTTAAACGTGAAAAAAGGCGCGTCTTTTATTTTCGTTGAAAGTAAACGCACGTTTACTGTTTGTAGTAAACGCGCGTTAACGCAGATTGTCATCGTATCCTGGACACATTGACATTAAATATCAAATGATAAGGTACATCAAAATTAAATGACCAACTGGTCATTTTCGATTGACATATTGACGATTACAGTTAATTAATAATGCTATTACACCTCTTTAATTAATTAAAAATTAATCATAGTAAATTTCTTTTTCTTCATAAATAAACAGTTCAAGCATGTCCTTCTTTTATTCAAATAATTTACTAATCATCACACAAATTCAACAGTTTTCACATTTCAGACTGGCTCAGAATAACTCAGAATAACTCTAAACCAAATTATTTGATCTCATTAACACCAAAACTGACCATATTTGCACTTTATCCAGTAAATCTATATAGCTGCATAGTAAATCAGTTATATTTTTTGATGTCAGGATGGACTGTAAAATACAAATGACAGCAATATTGGAACACAATGACTACAAAATTTTGTTCGCATCAATTTAGCGTGCCAGCATGTCCTATTTTTATTCAAAATATTGAAACGTAAACAAATATCAGTAGTTTTCATACCTCAGACTGACTCGTATAACACAATTATTTGTCCGCATCAACCAAAACAGACCATATTTGCACCTTAATATGTAAATCTTATTGTCTCATAGTAAAACAGTAATATTTTCATGTAAGGATGGATTGTATAATACAAATTATAGCAATATTGGAACACAATGACTACAAAATTTTGTTCGTATCAATTTAGAGTGCCAGCATGTCCACTTTTTATTCAAAATATTGAATCGTAAACTAATTTCAGTAGTTTTCATACCTCAGACTGACTCGTATAACAAAATTATTGGTCCGCATCAACCAAAACAGACCATATTTGCACTTTATTATGAAAATCTTATAGTCGCATAGTAAATCAGTAATATTTTTATGTCAGGACAGATTGTTTAATAAAGATGACAGCAATATTGGAACACAATGACTACAAAAAATTTTCCGCATCAATTTAGAGTACCAGCATGTCTCTTTTTATTCAAAATATTGAATCGTAAACAAATGTCAGTAGTTTTGATATCTCAGACTGACTCGAATAACAAAATTATTTGTCCTCATCAACCAAAACTGACCATATTTGCACTTTATTATGTAAATCTTATAGTCGCATAGTAAATCAGTAATATTTTTATGTCAGGACAGATTGTATAATAAAGATGACAGCAATATTAGAACACAATGACTACAAAATTTGGTCCACATCAATTTAGAGTGCCATCATTTCCTGTAATTTTATCCATAATAATGAACCGTCACTAAAGTCAGTAGTTCGTGATGGTTTGTATTTTAAACAAAACTATTTAACGGCATCATCCAACACTCACATGACTGATTTATATACGTTATAATGAAAAGTATGAGAAGTTCTCTTCTTGAAATAGTATACTGTTAATATATTATGTCAGTATGTAGGTTGATTGATTTTGTTTGTAGCCTAACGTCCAGGGGCAAATATTTCATTCATGTTCAGATCGAGTATATTTTTCGGACGTCCAAGATATCATTTATAATCGTTATGGATAAGTCTGTCTAAATTGACGAGATGGTACAAATGTACATTTTTATAAAACACTTTATTAATATCCCTATATACACTGTACAATTTTCGTTTGAACATTTGGCAAATCAGCATCTTAAATCATGTACATCCAAGGCAAACAAGGTGAATTACGATTAAAATTCCATGTATTAAATGAAAAGAGTTATATTTAGGAAGAGACGGTTAATAATGGGGAACGAAGCAACGTAAACCATGATGTTTATATCCCATCATATAAAAATATTTTTCCGATGTATTGGATAACCTTTCTTTCCGCCTCGATATTTGTACATGTAACTTTTGAAAAGAAAATATAGAAAATCTGCTACTCAGTAAAGTTATTGGAACTGATTTTTTGTAATTGATAAAAGTTAATATTTCGAATAAGAAGTGTTTTTGAATTGTTCTGGTTTGAAACACATATACGTAAAATATTAAGATAAAAGTCTTTTTAATAAAATAAATGTACAAATGAACACGAACTCCAGTTTATTTCTTAATTTACACAATCAGTTAACGCGAAAAGTAAACGCGCGTTTACTTTCAAGTGCACGTAAAAATACACTTGTGAAATCTGTAGTAAACGCCCGTTTACTTTTAAGTGCACGTAAAAATAAACTTGTGAAATCTGAAGTAAACGCCCGTTTACTACTGACTAAACGGACACAGAGTAAACGCCCGTTTACTCGGGTAGACATTAGAAATTTCCATTTTGACCGCGTTAACGTAATTATAGTAAACGCGCCTTTACTAGTAAACGCGAAAATTGACGTTAACTAACAAAATATGTGCACGCGGCGTAAACTTGCGTTTACTTTATATAATGCTTGGTCTGCACCCAACTGTACATGCTGTACATAAATATGTATTGTTTAGTAACATTAAATGTATATTTATGTACATTTGAATAATAAACCACACATTGGTCTGTACGGATACAAGTAAAATCATTATCCGATATAAGTAAGTAACTTTGAAACAACCACGAGTCGGTTGACAGTTAAGGAATGTATTTTTACAGAAGACGACGGATATGTTCCAATTTTCATAACTTCAATCTCGTCCAGTCCCCGGAATGTGACCTACCGAACTAAATATATCACCGGGTTTGTACATACATCTTCATGAGCAACACGACAGTCCCATATGTGAAGCAGGATCTGCTTACCTTTCCGGAGCGCCTTAGATCACCCCAGTTTTTGGTGGGGCTCGTGTTGCTCAGTGTTTACTTTCTATGTTGTGTTTTGTGTATTATTGTTTGTCTGATTGTCTTTTTCTATTTTAGCCATGGCGTTGTCAGTTTATTTTCGACTAATTAGTTTGAATGTCCCTTTGGTATCTTTCGCCTTTTTTTCAAAATACCAAATGATCGTATTTGATTTTAAATTTTGACAATTTATCTACCACTTACCACATCCTGTGTATTCAGATCAACTGCACTGGAAATAAGTAAATGTACGGTTTTTGTTCTCTGGAATATCACGGCAACGTGCAGTGCAGTATTACCTTGCTGGATAAGGAAAGATGTTTATTCTTTAATGTAGTGGAGAATGACAAATAAAGAAACTTATGACATGAAAAGAAAAGAAGTGAAGTAAAGTAGTAACGCAATATGAGTCAAGCATTTCATACATGTCATAAGAAGTTTTTCTCCTGATACAGGCATACAAAATAGAAGATTATGCTCAGTTCAACTTTATTTTAGAATTCAAAATTTATTACAACTGCCTCATATAATTATTTTGATCGGTATTACAAGCGACAAAGACTATATTTGAAGACACCATTGAGCTAATTATTAACTTCAATTCATTTTTATTACATTACATGTAATATCTGCCACTTACCTTACTTTGTGTATTAGGATTTATACCACAGGTAACTAAAAAACGGACGACTTTTGTGTTCTCTTTCCTTCCTGCAGCATAATGTAATGCAGTACAACCACCCTTCAAAAAGAAGCACCAATTGTTTTATTTCCAATCATAACTGACTTAACAAAAACTGGTGACATTGATGGAATAGGAGTAATTTAGTGTCTGTAGTAGACGTAGAGGCAAGTCAGTAAGCTAAAAATATCAAATATCTATTGATCGATTTTTACGAGAAAATGCGTTAGGCAATGTTTTTGTCCTTTGATTAATTGATAACATAAAAGCCCACGATGCAAGGTTTTCCCAAAGAAGTATTTCTACTTTTTTTTGCGTTTGAGAAACTATATTAAAATATTATTTTTTTAAGAATCACATAAAAATAATTCAAAACACAAATATAGTACATTTTAGGACATTCAAATTCAGATCTCCACTGTTATATTATGATATTCACCGAACTCACCAAATCTTGATAGAATATATTTGCTCCATCTTCTAAACACCTTTTTAATTTTTCTAAATCTCCAACCCGTGCAGCCTCTAGTAGATCCTTTATAATTTGAGTAAAATTTCATTAACATTGAGGGGAAAGAGTTTATCACACGTTTATCATTAACAGATGATATGACTTTGTTGCATAAAGCTCTCCAAATGCTTCGGTTTTTATACATACTTGGCTATTAAATAATAGGCTTTAAGCGTTCCAGATGAAGATAAATCCAGGAAAAGCGCTTCGGAAACATTAAATGCATCAAGTGTTGTTTTAATTTTTTTTTTTTTTAAAGCTTTATTTAATTTTGATCTATCGTAACGATCGTGTCTATGTGTATAACGACAGGTGCAACTAGTGAAGAATTGAAATGTTAAAACTTATGGAGCACCCCTTGCTTTTGGATGGATTCAATTAAAATAGTATTACATTCTTAACGGTTTGACTATCATTTTATTTGGTAATATAATACGCTCAAAAAATTGATATTGATAACATATTAAGTATGTGCCATCGCAACAATGAATATAAATATATGGCGATTATCTAAACATGCATGCATTAAAAGATTACTTATAGTCAACCATATATTAAATTGGTAAAATTATTTTTTAGGAAAGCAAAAATTAACTGAAAGTTTGGCTGAACGAGATAAAGGTTATAGTTATAGGGAGAAAAGTAGTATCAAATTGCTTTTACAGTTGAAACATAGCTCAAATATTTCCTTTTTTTTTACTTTAAAATTCAGTAAATTTACTTATTTAGTTTTGCAAAAAATATTTTTCTGCACTGCTAATTACGATTTTAATATGAAACTATTTTCAAGTACATCGGTCAATTTTACAGCAATAGTAGATAAGTATTGTATATCAAATGCTGTTGATAAATTTGAAGACTTCATAAATGAGTTAGGTTGAATGTTTATTGAAGACAACTGATTTGGTTTGAATGTTCATTGAAGAAGACAAATGAGTTGGGTTGAATGTTCACAAGAAAAGTAACTCGTCAACTGTACGAAGATAAACGATGTCTCAACCGACTTTTATAGATAGTTGCTTGGCGGTCTCCAAATGAATGCCACACGAATGTGTGTAATTAAAGGAACGTATCATTGAAATAAAGAGGATAAGAAATGATGTGTCTTACTCTTTAAGTACCCGCCTAGCAGTTTGATAATCATAGAAATTATCAAATATGATAAACAATCACCATCCTATATTGACAGTTTGTAAAACCGAAATTTTGCAAAAAGATGTAAAAAATGAAAACAACACGTTATAAATTATATGCGTCCAAGACGCTTCAGTCAGTTTGTCACTTCTTTAATTATAACTAAAAATTAATAATTACAGGCAAGTATAAGGAAAACAGCCATATCTTTGTTTTCTGTTTTTTTTTCTGGTTTCTTTTTTAGTGCCTTTTACTGTGATAACATGTGCACTTTGTAAACAAAATACCCCTTAATTACCCAAGTAGAAAACTGAAAGTATTATCGGTTATTATTAAAATGCTATAAATTTCGAAATCATTTGTATATTCACGCAACATACATGTATATTAAAAGATTTAAATCATTTAAACCAGACTATATGAAATTAACATCAGTAAACGCATATGCTATTAAGGACTTATTAATAAATTGTAGTCAAGGTTATATTTGGAAACAGAACAGAATTATGTGACTTTCAAATATTCTAAACTTTTCAATAAAATTTGGTTTCATACGGCAGGCTTTTAAAATAAATATGAATATTTCATATTCGGTAAAATCATGTTCTAATACACAGAAAAGACTATTTTACCTGACCATCTTGGCATCTTTCATCTACGTTCATTGTTAAAAGACCTGTAAAAAAATAATGTTGATGCACTATAGAAATGTCCCTTCCAAAAAGTTATATTCCCCTTTTTTCACTCATACTTTGTAGTAGATCACTATGGGTTTTCAATCAATTAGTGGTAACAATAGTTTACCGATTTTCATATCTCGCGAATCCAATCAAAACGTGATGAAACACGAAACCTTTTAAAGACTTGTATACACTCTATACTGAGCGAGAGAGTAGTTGCATTGACAAGGTAATCGTTTCCTGATATTCATGAATCAACCACTATGCCACGCAAATTCAGTCAAAATACCACATTGCAAATTGTACAAAGTCTGTAAATTTAAAATCAGACGACTAGTCTGATTTGGCTTTTATTTTTATTTTTCGGTGAAGACCACTGACAAGTCAGAATAAACCATGAAATGTATAGATAAGTTTAAATAATATGTACTGATTTCATCAGTTAATTTAATTTAAACGATATATTTGGTTTACAGTTTGATTCAGAAGAAACACCGACATAGCTAGATAATACAATTAATTATCTAATTACTACCACAATTTGATATTAATAAGTATTGTAATTTTCATTGTTATTAATAAATGTAATGTCAGTATTACAAATCTAATCTTGAATCAATCCTAATCCTAACTTATTTTTGGGAAATATTTTTTACAAATTCAAATGTGACGTCACTTTGTGTGTTTTTTCTAGAATTTCAAATGCGACGTCACTTTGTGCGTTGAGGCTTTGGCTAACTCGGCTGTGTATTTTTATGTGTTGGATTAAGTTGTGTTATGTAATGTATTCGTTTTTATTCTGTAGTTAGTCCCCACTTTGGTTTTATCATGTATATCTATTATATAGTCATTTTATAAAATTTACTGTTTGCAAAATTATAAATTATTCTAAATATAAGGATGTTCTTGTCCCAGGCAGAATACCCTGGCCGTGTTAGGCGCAACTTTTTGGAAGTTTTGGACCTCGGTGCTCTTCAGCTTTGTACTTGTTTTGGCTTTCAAACTTTTTTCATCTGAGCCTCACTGGTTGGTCTTGTGTGGACGAGACGCACGTCTGGCGTATTGAATTTGAAGCCTAGTACCTTTTGTGAGCTATCATTCGTGTGTTTTTTTGTCCTATATGTTCTCCGATTTATTTGTATTGTGGTCCTGTCATGTGATGTTGTCGTTTTGGTGTTGTGTTTGACGTTGCCATAAAAGCGGGAGGTTTGGCATGCCACAAAACCAGGTTCAACCCACCATTGTTTTCTTAAAATGTCCTGTACCAAGTCAGGAAAATGGCCATTGTTATATTATAGTTCGTTTCTGTGTGTGTCACATTTTAATGTTGTGTTTTTGTTGTGTCGTTGTTCTCCTCTTATATTTGATGCGTTTCCCACAGTTTTAGTTTGTAACCCGGATTTGATTTTATCTCTATCGATTGATGAGTTTCGAACAGCGGTATACTACTGTTGCCTTTATTTAATGCCAGCTTGAACTAATCTCACATGATACTTCTTAAAAGTTGGCACGCAGAGCTGTTACATTAAGGCTTACTTTTATCAAAATTTCGTACAATTGCCAAATGTTGTCATTTTAGCGGTATTTTTAACATTGCCATATAAGCGGGAGGTTTGGCTAGCCATAAAACGAAGTTCAATCCACCATTTAATCTTAAACGATGATTTTCATCTTAATTTCATCTGAAATGTCTGAACAATAGATTATTTAGTCATGTTGAGTCTTTTAGTAAATTTTCTGCGATATTTTCAGTACGGTTCACACAATTCGTTTGCAATCAATTCAGTACTGTTCAGTACCTTTTCAGACAATTCAGTGTGATGTTAATGTGACCATGTAAATAACAACTACGGAACAATCTGAACATATACTGAACAGATCTTCATTGAATGCTAGATACACTTTAGGTACAGCTGGCCGTTGACGGTCTTTGCATTACTGTCTAAATGCCTTCTGGTTTAAATCTCCCCCTTTCCCCCAAAAAAAAAACAAAAACAATCATCAAATCAAACACAACACAACATCAAAACATATCAACAAAATTACAGCAGCAAAAACACAACAAATAAAAACACAACAACAAAAAATACACCCAAAAAAACATAAACAAGTAGAGCGTTTGAGTTTTCAGTTATGATGTTGTTGTTTTTTCTTTGGGGGGGGGGGGGGGGGGGGTTCTAGGCTTGTTTTATCTTGAAAATCTTTCTAACATCTTAAAATCCATGCAACGTGACGTTTAAATCTTTCGGCATTTTTGATAAAAAAAAACATAATTAAACCTTAATTCACTTCAAATTATAAACGCAAAAATTAAATTGTACTTCTACTTGAAAATACTGATAAAAAAGGCTTATGTTTTTGAAAAATTGTTTCTGCTTAATTTATTTGAAAGCAAAACATGTATTTGTCCAGAATAATGATAAGGCTCGACAAAAGATTATTGGGCGGTGACGTAATATACCTAAACACAGAATCAGTAACTTCTTCTATATATGGAATCATTGACAGGGATACATTTCATTACATCAAAAAGAAAAAGAAAAGTACTTTTTTCTCACCTTTTCTAATGACGTTTAAAATTCCTGACTTTTTGTTCACACTATTCTTTTTTCCCATAGCCAATGAATTGTTTTGTCACATACTTTCACATATTTTCAAAGCATGAATTGGTCCAATGTTCTGTTACATAATAATAACAGAATAGTATACTGTTTATTTCTCCATTTTGTGTTTGGTATTCTTTCTAACAAAATCAATATTTTCTTCCATTATTCGTCTGCTGTAATCACCTACAATACTTAGGTTAAAGAACTTTGAATTGCAAATAAGCATACGGTGTATGGTTACAAATAGTCAAAAGACTGAGTTAAATGTAATGCACTTATCATCGAACGTTATTTTATAAAAATGTTATAGTTTGCAGTCTTTGACCAGGAGATAATTTAAATAAACGGGAGGTTGGCTAGCAATAAAACCAGGTTCAACCGATCATTTTTTCTTAAAATGTTCTGTACCTAGTTTGAAATATGGCAGTTGTTATCAGACAGTCCGTGTCTATGTATGCTGGCGTTAGTTTTTGTTGTTGTTCAGTATAATTGTTCCGTTGTTTTCCTCTTAGAGTTGATGTGTTTCCCTCGGTTTTAGTTTGTTACCCGGATTGTTTTTGTTTAATCGAATTATGACTATTGAACAGATGTATACTACTGTTGCCTTTTTGAGCATTACATTAAGTTTCTTTGGTGCGTTGTCACTTTGAGGTGCACATCTTGCTGTTACAATCCGCTTCTTTAATTTATATTTTTGATTTCAAACCAGACTGCAAGGACAATTTGAAAGATTCCTGGTTGCCTTTAACATTTATTCAGATATAATAACCATTTGACTTTATAAAAATATACTGTTGTTTTCTTTGCAATGTTTAACCATTTCCTAGATACTGAATACTATTTGCCAAAATTATATAATTACCAGGGAAAAACATGTGCAGCAATTGACGTTGGATGATCAAGTCTACGTTTTTTTTTTTTGTCAGTTTTTATGGACTTATCCCTTTTTGAATTTTCCTTGGAGATCGGTATTCTTGCTTCCTTAATACAACAAAAATTGCGTTATTTTAGTTCAATTATATCCATCTGAAAGACCACATCTTTATAAACATTTGTACGACTTTTAATGTATAAATTATCTAAATTTACAACAAAGTTTCATATTTCATTTTATAACTATTAAAGATGTATTAAGTAACTTTATGACGCAGTAAAAAATAATGAGAAAGTAGGTCGTTTTATGAGTGGATGACAATAATTTAAGACTGTCAGTTTTTAAAAAACAGAGAAAGGAGTGAATATGATGAATCCTAATCTATATTTCAAAGATGTATATCAGAAACGATGAAATCAGTCAAAATATATTAAGATTTTCGATAAAAGAAAAATAAATGTACGGTATTTTATGAGAAATTACAAATATGGAAAACAATATATATCAATCAATTCATAAAGTACAGCTTATTAAAACATTTCAGTTAGATCAGCATAAGGAATAATTTTCTAGTTTAGAAAAGAGTATTACCTCTTTTCTCTCGATATGGTATTCAATATATAACTCATGGGGTATACGTCATTTAGAAAGCAACCGAACGAATCAAAGATATACATGTTTATCGTGTTGTTGTTTCCCATATCTATCCCTATTGTCAATCAAATATTCGTGTCCTGTAGTACAACATTTGAGTGCAATTCACATGTTTTTGCAATAATTTTAAATTCTAAACAGGTATGCTCGTTACTAAACGTTTCAAAGGCGAACCATGTAAAACCTCACAATGCAAACCAAAATAATACACGGTCAACTTTGACTGACATGATTGATATGCTAGTTATAGTACGGTTATGAAATTCAAGAACTGTGAATCAACTTTATCGTTTATAACACCCAATTGTGAAGCATTTGGAACGTTGACTCAAAGATACATAGTTGAAAGGTATTGAAGAGATCTTTACAAGATTATACGTATTAGGTTTCAGGTTACTGTAAATTTTTCGGTTGCTTTCATTCTCGTGTTAAGATGTTTAGATTTGCACTTAAGACGTACAATCAGTACAGTATAATACGACCATTACATGCTAGACAGTGGCTGCTAGCTTTAGGCTAGTCTTTCTATTAACGTTCATTAAAATATAAAACACATAAAAACTGTTTGACTGCATACATGTTTAACCTGTTTTACAGCTATTCATTAGATCCCAACTTAATCTACAAAAAAATCTATAGAAGCAGCTTGCCCTTAAGTTCTTCCAAATAGAAAACGTGCTGATGGGCCCATTGTGATGGCTCCTAGAACTATTATCTAGTGTTTATTATTTCCTACTTTCTTTAGTGACTGTCTTTTCTATTCCTGTTTTTCACGTGTCATTTTATCCTCCAATAAAATGACATGAAAAATATATTTTCAAATTGAACTGTAAATAAATAGTTTTCAAAATATTTTTTATCAAAAGGTACTTTCTTCATTCATTCATTCAAACCTTATTGGCTGTATTTGTCGGAAAATCTGTTTTTAGATTTATGTCAAAGTATATTAAACTTCTTACCTCAGGTGGAAATCATGCTTAATATTAAGACACATCTTGGATGTGCCAGATCGAAAAGTATATAGTTCACAACTTAAACCGCCATTTCTATTCAGGAAATAGTTCAGTAAGGGGTATGTATGTACCTGTTCATTCAACTGAATCGAGTCGGTTGGTTTGAAATTCGATTTCAAACTTCTATTTTTAAACGAATTTGTAATTTTACGATATCTCAAAAAAAAGGAAACCCTTTAATATGTTATTGTATATGAAAACATTAACTATTGTAAGAATACAGTCATCTTTTCAATGAAAGAAAAAGGATCTGTGGTGTTCTTTTATCGTGTTTTAAGTATTAATAGCTTTTACGAACCAACTTGTTTTATGTCTTTATACTGTATTTGATTTGCTCATTGTTGAAGGCCGTACGGTGATTCATTGTTGCTAAAATCCAACTAATTTGGACTCATAGGGTTAGCTGTCTCATTGGCACTCATGCCACATCTCCTTTTTTTTACATTTCATCTCAAATTCCCTTCTGATTAAAAAGTTCTTTTCACTTTCAATTTTTGTTCAAGGTTTTTTTTTAATATTTCAAAAATTGCGACGGCAAAGGTCGTGTAAATTTCGCAAAAATTAAAAATATTGAATTATGTTCAATATCACTGCACAGAGAGTTAGTGCTAACGCACTTTTTTTGTGTTCCTCACTTTGAGGCGCATTAGGGATAATGATCCAGATTCAGGATTAGTTGTTATTGGCTTTGAACTTGTTTTTAAGTAACTACTACGAGTAATCTCATATCTGTACTTGTTGTCTTTTGTGTTTTTGTTAGGGTGTTTTTGTGCTTTGTATCAATCTGATGAGTTCAGCCCTTTTTAAGTAATTTTATGGTTTGTTCTAGTGTTGTACTGTTACATCACTGCCCCAGGTTAGGGAACGGTTGGCGCAGTAGAACATGCTTAACCTCGGCGCACTCTGTGTGTGCCTTTCCTAAGTCATGAGCCTGTAATTTACTGTGGCTATTGTGTGTTGCTATATATTATATTTGGTTATCGTTTATTGCTTTGAACATAAATATTGCCGATATTTTTCTCGTTTGATATTTGTTTTTTTCGGGGTCTATTGCTTAGTATGTAGTCAGGGTTTTGTTGACGGTCGTACTGTGACTTATAGGTGTACTTCTACGTTATCTTAGATAAAAGCCTAGAAAACAAAACATGGAAAACTTAAGACTGAGTAACACACACACCAAGTAAAATAGAGGGTGATCTCATGTGCTCCGGACGGGTAAACATATCCTGTTCAACATGAACATGTGTCACCCATCATGTTGATAGCATTAGATAAATCAATGAACTATTAATTGAGTGTTCTCCTTCAGTATATTGTCGATATAAATTGTAGAATAATCTGATAACTCTAAGGAAGTCTTCTGACGGCCTGAATTTGTTTTATTCATTTTGGTTAATTATATAGATTATGGCACATCATGCATGTCATAGATGAAATCCAAATATGATTTGAGTTGGTAATAATTTATATTCCGATCTATTCTAGAGATTGTTCAAATAACATTTACAATTTCGTATAATGCAAAACATCTAGTTCTATACAAGATGACAAATCGTCCATACCGAGAAGCTGTCGTATATCAAATTAATACAGTAGACTAAATACAAGTACGACAAATATTCTATTTTTATATCAAACATATATAAAGACAGTTCACAACACGTTTCATACAAAACAGTGGTAATAACTCCTTTCATCCATGTTCTCCTCAATTTTTTTTTTTTATTTTTAAAATTTATATTAAGATATGTCCTTAAAAGATTTTTAACCACGGAAAATATTAAAAGGACAAATAAAAAAGTTATTTCAAAACAATGAAATGTATTGAACATGTTGAAAGCAGATTTAATAGACTAAGTGTTATTTGACAGTATTTACTCAGTTTACTGTCCTTGCATTGACAAGTAAAATGTCCTTGCATTGACAAGTAAACATTACACTATTTTAAAATGTTGAACTTTATTTAATCATTGATTATAAGCTTAAACAGCCCGGTAATAAATTAGTTGAAAAATATTCACCTACAAAAATTAAAAATAAGAGGTCAGGCGTTACACCGAAGACTTGTGTTAGTCACATCAGTATTATTGATAAAAAAAAAACCGCTTCAAAGAGTATTGAAGTTATGATGTACAACGAAAACAATTTAAGACAGACTCAAATAATAAAAACACAACAACGTGGTTAATCAAATATGACAAAAGATTGCAAGTCAACAAACATTGAACAAAAACTAAGTATTGAGTATCACAAACACACATACACACCGGGGATGAAGTAATGTGTATTTGACGGGTTAACTATTTCTGATCAACTAATGTGCATTTGACGGATAAACCATTTCTGATCAACTAATATGCATTTGACGGGTAAACCATTTCTGATCAACTAATGTGCATTTAACGGGTAAACCATTTCTGATCAACTTATGTGCATTTGACGGGTGAACCATTTCTGATCAAATAATGTGCATTTGACGGGTAAACCATTTTTGAACAACTAATGTGCATCTGACGGGTAAACCATTTCTGATCAACTAACGTCACATATCGTGTAACTGCTATGTAAACTATAGTCAATGTGAGCGAGCTAACAAAATGATACCCCGCCCCAACAAACACGAATAGCAAAGTCGGGAATTTTTTTGAAGGAAACAAACATAGGTACGATCAAGACGAAATAAGAAGTGAACATGGCTTTGTATGGATATGGTTCTAAGAAATAGATAATTTCTTATTAGGAATTGGTGATGAGTTGCAGATACAAAATAGGTTTCTCTCAAAATAAGCAATGACAAAGTCTACGATTTAGATAGGGAAACATGAAGCGTAATTCATGAATAAGGTATTCCTGTATACAGTTCCCGTTTACATAGTACTAATGATTATTTTCCTTATAGAGCTTATTGTAAAAAAGATTATTTTTTTTGTATTTACACTGTGTTCAAAATAATGATGTTCTCGTGAAAAAGTCTAGGAAAAGGCAACTGAATGAAACATTTTGAAGATATTCTTAATGTTACATTTGTATTTGGGACAAGTCACGTCTGTATTTGAAGAATTGGCGAATGCTTTCTGCTAATCCTCCTTCACCAACACTTTCAAGTGCAGATGATAACTTGTCAACCTTGTTGTTCTTCAGTTGATCGAGAGCAGTTTTTAGCAATGTGAAAGCTTGCCTATTACTTGATGGTACTTTTTCACAAATTTGGTCATATTGAACCTGTTTCATATCCAGATGAAGAACAGTTTCAAACAGTTTGTCTGCATTAAGCAACTTTCCTATGGCCATCATACCTTTTTCTGTCAGGAAATCTGAAACGAAGAAATAATTGTTAGTGAAAAACAAGAGTCTTTTAACGAAATAGAATCGGTTTTATAGATTTAATGAGATGTACAAATCAACGTAATTGTTAAAAGCAAAAATACAAAAAAACATAACTAAGCAACGAGTGCCATAAATGATGGAGAATGATTCATACACATCTTCTAAGTTCTCTCTTAAGTTAAACATCGAGATACGAAACAAAACATTTATAAAAAACAAGGTCGGTGGTTTTCTCCGGGCACTCCGGCTTCCTCCACCAATAAAAACTGGCCGCCACGAAATAGCCCAAAAGCGGTGCTTAAAAGTGGTGTTAAAACACCAAAATTTTTTTTATAAAAAACAAATATACAAAAGAACTTAAATTGTTGCTAACAACAAACTGTTTACTCTTTATATCACAACTAACTCAGGGGAACAATATTTTTTTTTATCTTTACATTCCTTTATTTATTTATCAATGATTCATGTTTCAAATTGAAATGTCTATAATATAAATATGATTGGTTGACGTATTCTGCAGCAAACCCTAGTTTAATTTGTAGCAGGAGATTGATTTAAGCTTCAACATTTGCAAATCCTTCAAAACGGAATATATCTAATGAGCTGATTCAAAGACAGTCCTGCACACTGATATCAGTGTATCCATTATAATATTCGAAAACAGATATGGCACGATTGCCAACTTTCCAAAAAATACTAAATTACTAAGATATGATCTATAACATGTCACAGCATACCGTTCATACAACTATACAATTGTGTATTGAATTATACGCCATATATCTTTGATCAGTTTTATAGGAGATGAACATAATGAATGTGGCGGGGTTTAATAATTTAAAGAGCGTTGATGCTTCCAAATACCAATTTTTTTATAGTGGTGTCTCAACACATCAATGGAACGTAAAATTCGGTGAATAGGGATTGTTTCATTAGATGGAAATTAAACCCCTAGTTCAACTTCAATTTAAAAATATTCAAACACACAAATTATGTCCCTCAAAAACGACCAACAATTGAAAAAACACAAAGGGCCAATTTACTTGAGACTAACATATCAATAAGTAACCTCAAACATATTCAGTGCCGAAATTTTATAAGTAGTCGGAGAGAAATATGACATTAGGCAGAGCAAAAGTATAAGTATGGACAGGATATAGGACCAATATTAACTAGATAGCCATTATTTGTTTAATTATTTGTTAAACTATTGAAATAAAATCAGTATATGTATTGTATACCATCTTCACTGCATTTGCGAACTGACAAAGTTGGTTGCCTGTTAATGTAACTTGCCCCCTTCGTGGACGTCATTTGATCAGGTCGTGCCGTTCTAGCTCTTCGGTCAGGAGTATTTCGTCCTTTTAAAAGAGATGCATTTGTGTATTCCTTGGTGCTCAGTGTATTATAGCTAATCTCGTCGACGATTTCCTGATCTTTGGTGAGTAACAAAATACCGTATACATCTTGATCAATTTTGTGTTTAATTTCTACTACGAATCTTGTAAAATTCTCCGCCGAGTTTGGCAAAAAGGTCAGGTCTAATCTTTTCCTTGATGTAAAGCGCGGCAAAGTAAAACACCCTTTCAAAGTGATATCAATTTTAATTTGTGGTTTGAAGACTAAATCTTTGCTTATCCAGTTCTTGAACAGGTGGAAACCCCTGTCTTCGCAACTATGGCAAAACGCTTGCATCTTTGATTTTTCAATGCATGCAAGCAAAACA